ATGATCCAAGATCATGATTTGTATGCATGTTGATTATTATTCTTGATCAGTTTGTTAACTCTCTGTTCATTCTGTTCTTTGCGTTATTTGGATTTGTTTGCTGTCATTTTCTCGACCATATTGTCAAAGCCGTCCATTCTTTAAGGTGATAATCCGTTTTTGAAACAGCTGCATGATGCAGTTTATGTCATCGTTTGGTTGTAGTATGTTTCATCCTTATATATTCTCCATGGTATTGTTAGCATTTCATGGTCTTAATAATCCATTTGTTTGAAAATAAAAACAAGAACATAGAACACCAGAACACAATCACTTGAATTAAATCATCAAGACAACTATAAAATTCCCCATAGTATTCATTAGCCTGCATCTCACGAAAGTGTAAGTTTATCTGTCAGCTGTCGTCATCATCAAAAGAAATCGTGATATCTCGAACCTGCTCTTGCATATTAATCTTACATATGAACACCATAGTTTTGAAAAGCAGTCCCTGTTGTTGGAAAAGATTGAAGTAAGTTATCATCCATTTAAGTGCAGATAAGAACTGAGTACAGATCTTTCTGTTTTCTTCTGAATATGATTACAGCTATTGTCGTTGGTAGCTCTGTATAGTCTATATCTGTCCTTGTCAATGTTTCACGACATCTATAACTTCGATACCCTAATGTCTCTCTTCTTTTCGCAACTGTAATCAAATGACCTACATCAGTCTTCCTTATTCTGACTGTATCTTGGCAGGCATCAGAAATTGGCTTCCATTGCTCTTTATAGTAATCCACCCTTGAGACCGAACAGCAAATAAACTCTACCAGTCTTCCTTTTTGTCCCTGTTGACATCTTTTATACAGTTTCCATTCTGCAATATCACTTTTCATGGTATCTGCAGTGACACCACTTATCATATCTTCAAAGCATTGTCTCTACATCGAATAAGTGACCTGTCAACTCCAACGTGACACTCGTCGACATGTTATGCATAAAAAATCTATATTTTATTGTTTTTCATGTATTATCAATTTTGACACCTGTCATCACACGACATGTGTTTGTCCGTGAACGATTTCAATTCCATCCATGTTATTGTGTTTTGATGTTACGACATTAAAGCGGTTCAAAATCAGCTGACAGATCAGAAACAATGTAGCTGTTGACATCAATGTTAGTTGGTCATGATGACGTGGCACAGTAAGGAAAAAAACAAAATCACGAAACACGTTTCTAGCATGATAAAAAACTAATGAGTGGTATTTCAGATGAATGTGTGACCATCGACAACAACAAGGTTTATTAATTACTTTTTTATTAGACAGTATACAATGTAGATGCAACTGTTAGATAAAAAATCTATAGTCTAAATTAAAATATGATTATATAAATATGATAAAAAGTGATACGTTTCCGAAGTAAAGGTAATGTCATACGGTTAGTTCCGCCAGCATGTTCAAAACACGTTTTCAAATCTGAGTCCATGGAATGCGGAATTACACAAATTCTTAAAACCAAAAGTACATACATCATTGGAACGCGAAATGCAAAAATAATATTTCAGCTAAGCTGCCTTTTTATATTTTCTGTTGTCGGATATGCTGTTTCTAACACATGTTTTAAATAGAAAACAGAAACAGTCATGGAGTAGATATGTATACTACTTCCAAACTAAATGAAACATGCAGTAGATTTTAAGACAGCTTGAACATAGTGTACACAAACTCTGCAAACGTCGTTATACTGAATCATGCCATCTCGTTATTTTTATATAGGTTCTGGAACGCATACACATTATTCTTAACTTGTCAACGATTACGGTTTTTCCGTATTATTATTTTTTCAAACTTTCGTAACGTAAATACCACATGTAGGGGTGAAAGCTTACGGCTTACTTCATATTCTTTGGTAGAAAATAAGCCGTGATATTTTCACGCTGATACATAACATCAAAAAACCGATGTTCAGGTTAGTTTTGACGCCAGCTGGCATTTAAAAGTAAGCTTTTGACTACAACGTTGATTATGCTCGTTTGTTATTGTAACAGACGGCTTGTTTAAGATATTCAAAATGGAACAACACGTTCGTTCGATGTACGTCTTGATCAATGAATTAAAATCATACCCCTGTGGAAATAATCGTGTAAGCAAACATACATGAACAAATCAGGATACATATTATCTGAAAAATAGATAAAGCAGTGAAGAATGCCAATTTCTCTCTATTGTCCGTGCTAAACAGCAAACAAACGACAAAACTTATATACGACGTTTTCAAGATTTTCCGCAATATCATGTTTAATACATTGATTTATTTTACAGCAACATGTTGCACTCAGTTTGAAATGATGTTTATTTGCTAGGTAAACATCATTTCGAACTGAGTGCAACATGTTGCTGTTATAAACAATATATCAATTTTGTCGCGTATATTTAAATCACGTGTAATATTTGCGATCACGATACCGAAAAGGTTGGGTGTTAATGACGACAGAACGGAGTCAGAAATGTATCTGTGGGAACGATGTTTACAGAAAAATTCAGATCGCTAATGATTAATCAAATTGAACTAAAAATAACAACCACACTTATTTGAATGTCCTTTATCACGTGTTGTGTTCCGTACTGATGGATCCTTTATCCGTTTGTTCCAGATGCAAACATAAAAAGAAGTCTACTTGTATTGATAAAAATAATTAATTGTCGAATTGTAAGTAATATTCTAATAAGATCAACAAAAATACCATCCCGGTAACATAAACATAGTCCAAACTCAAATTCAATAAAACTAGGAGAAAATATGATCAAAAGAAAGAATTGCACGGAAATTAATGAAAGAAATCTAAGGATAATAAGACAAAGATTCCGAAAGAGTAAGCGTCTTCTGCTTCATCGAGGATATCCGCCATGAAAACCTTGGTCAACCCTAGTAAATAATGTCACGTACTGAAATGAGAAAACAACAGAACCAATAGGCAAACTAAAGAACATCAAACACGTCCAGCTTTATTAATACTACATTCAGACGTGTGAAGAGTAGGTTCGTCGTTTTTGTTGCAATTTCGCGGCCTTATATTGAAATTGAAAACATTGTTAAACCATCGAGTGTCTGTTCTAGGCATTGTTTGTATTCCGATCTGCATGTAGCACAAATATGATTTTTGGATGGGTCTATCTTTCAGGTATCAAATTATCAGGAATATACCAACCGATGTTTAACAGAATTAAGTGACTATTTCGTAATGCAATGGGAAAAAATCACCACTGTCATTTAGACGACTAACATCCAATTACCACCAAAGAAATGACATGCAATTTCCTCCCAAAAGCAACTAAAACTTCTAATATGTGAATATAATCATATAACCAATTTTTAAATCCAATAAAACTAGGACAAAATATAACAAAACACGAAAACTTATGAAAAAGTACCTACAAGGAGAAAAAACATCAGAAGACCCGGAAGAGTAAACACGTTCTCCTGAACAATTGGGATGGTATGTGTTAAGGGACTTGAAATTTCTACTTGTTGTGTTCTTCCTTTCTGCATTCGGTAAACAAAGCTGAAGATGTTTACATAATGAGTTGTTTCCACATGTAGTTTAAACGGAAAAATACAATATACGTTTTCGTGCTGATAAGTACATGTCTGAGTATATCTGTGTGACATCCAGATTTATCGAGGTATTATATCTAGTGTTTTGAAGGAACATATATGCTTCTTGACCTTGGATGCCTTCGTTAAGCTGACTGCTATTTTCCTGGAAACGTAACTCGTCTGTTGTATGCGAGAGGTCGGGAAAATACATCATACCGGATGTGTGATCTTGATGTATAAACATCGCTAATGGAAAACGACAGCTTAATAAATCTACCTTAAGGAACATAGCGAGTGCAAAGTGTTGTTTATCCGATTCCTGATGACGCTTTGTAGACTGGACTGTTTCCTCATATGATGTAAGAGTTGTCAAGACCTCTTACTTTATATGTTCATATATTGATAAGCTACGGCCAGTATGACACAGCCTTATAACTACCTCAAGGTCACGCCGTAATATATCCATTTACGTTTCTCGGTGAGATAACTTACGAGCTTCATCTTATAAGATTACAGTACTTGGTATTAATAATGTGGTTCGTGCCAAAAGCCAGCGAAAATCCATAACAAGTAAACGTGTGATTCGAGCCGTGTAGATATTTATGACGAGACAGCTCCCTTCTTGATACTCAGAGACATTATCTTATTTCATTTACAAAGAATGAAAAGAAGGTATGGGATGATGTCACAAGTCCATAAACAATGTTATTGTTACATAATCAAAGACTTTCTATAAGACGAATTTCAGATAGTCTCGTTAACATTCTTTAATATTCATATTTTATGACATAGGTATTTTTAGGAGGCTAGCTTGATGTAAGGAATCACTCTTCATTCTACATATGTATTTGTACGTGTAAATTCCACTTGTGCATTATACTACCAGTATCTCGTTTGATTGAGGCACGTGGCGCTAATTGAACAGTATGTGAACGTATGAGATCTTCGTTTGATAAAAGTCACAGCTAATTTAACGTAACACCCTATATTGATCGTGGATGTCTATTTTCTTATTTTCTGTAAGCATGTGTTTAGTTCATTTACTGTACGGCAGGGAAATTTCGATCCCGGAGTTGTCGTCTGGATCTAAATTAATGTAGATGTTTACCCTTTTCGTCGCGTAATGTTGCATGTGTATGGTAGTTTGCAAGCAATTTAGCTTAGAAACGATTGGTACCGCAACCTTTGTGATCGAAATCCAAGATAAAGGTGAAATACTCTGTGTACCACAAAGGGAGACAACTAAACAGATGCCGGTAGGACGAACTTTGAAAATAAATTTATTGAAAACAACTCCAGGGAAGGTACACTGTGAGAAAGCCCATCAAACCGAAGTTACGATTACGTAATCCAATGTTTTTGGGACCAGTTGTCATTAAAACCGAATACAGAATGCTGCGATACAAAAAAAAACCATAATGGATGCTGCAATGGGAAATTACAATGCAAGGTATACAGAAAAGGTCGTTCGAAAGCAACAAGAGTGATATAAAGTGGAAAACTCATCGCAATAGCAAGATGGAAATACCAACATGCCAACATAATCATGATATCCCAAATCAAATTCAATAAACCTTAAACACAATAAGATTTAAACAGCGAATCCTGCAAAAAAGTACAAGGAGAATAAGACCAGGTGTTCTGGAAGAGTAAGTGTCTTCTGCTTCATCGATAACACCTGCCATGTAAACCTTGGTCAATCCCAGTAAGTGATGCCTCGTTCTCAAATGAGAACGAGGCATACAACAAGGAGCCAACATACAAACTAACGAGCATCAAACAAGTCCAGGTTCATATCGCACAAAGACATATAACATGTCTCAATGAGATCACTATACCGACCGTCAGTTTGATAATTGATAATTTTTATCAATCTGCATCTTTGGAAACACTGTGATACGTCTTTATCATGTTGTCAGCTGTTGATTTTTTGTTATAATGGGAACAGATCCCTGAATTTCGAATCAACTGTGACATTTCAAAATCATATGTTAGGGATGCAGGAATGTTGTTATCCAGAAATGGGAATTACACAATAAAAAAGTGAAACCATTTTGTTTAGCGGGAAACTTTTCTTATTAATATGAATATTAATTTGTATACAAGATGTCGCCACTCGCTGGGTAAACTTGCAACGCTAGGTTGCAAGAGACGCAGGTAAGTAAGCATCATGGGTTGCCAGAATGATCTCATTTGGAAAACTTCTATTTCATTTAGTTGGGCATGTTTAAAACTCGTTAGGATGTCTGGTGGTTTCGTTGTTGTTAAAGTTGTTCTCATTAGGGAAAGTAATTACTAACATGGATTAACCAAGTTTTACATGGTACCTGGTCTTATTTCCACCGGTTTCCCTGTAGATCTTGGCTTTGTTTTATTTTCCCTCAATTAATCGATTTTGTGTTTGAATTAAGATTCCACTAACATTGCGATACCTTTTCTCAGACGAAAGAACACTAGCAACATGTGCATCGATATTGGTATCCAGTGGCTGACTATAGGAAAAAACGTCTTATAGAGAGGCGACGTTACACGAAAACTGCTGCTACTGTTTAACCAGGAAGCAGATACTTTGAGGAGAATGAAATGAATGAATATTCTGTTTCCAGAAGTGACTATAATCTGATCTGTGTAACGTGGGCAAGGATGGAATAGCAGTGCCCACTACCTGATTGAGAAAGACATTCATTCGATATAAAGGAAATTTAACTCGTTTCGTTCCTATCGTTCCCATGACACAAATAAAGAATCTGATGTTGCACCTGCCAGGGACCCAAGCAAGACATATTTGTTCAATAGTGATTATCGCGAATCTGCGCAAAATCTTTAAGATTGCAGATCCGGTCAATAAGAATTTTTTTCGTGAGTATTGATGACACAAATCTACGTATGGTTAAATATATCCTGACGGTTTTATGGGTTTTGTCTCGCTTTTATACAAATATGATAAAAGATTTCTTTTACATAGATATTTTCGAAACTGAATTGCCTAACTATGTGTCTACTGTTTAATGGGATCGAATTTAAAGCATCAAATCTATATTGCTGTCGGAATTCTTTACGTTCAGCTGTTCCACTTAAAAACTCAAAAATATTTGCAAATCAAATTCTTTTGTCATTGTCGCCAGGAAAACTGCCGTTCAGAAAGTGAAAAATTGACCCAGGATATCTCCACGGCCTCACAGTTACATATTATACTAAGATGTTATTGATGTTATTTGGTCAGCATTAATTTAGCCGTTGGATGTGTAAATGATGACAGTGTCGACTGAATGCATTTAAAACGTAGGAGACTGTCCTTGAAAAGGAACAGTCTGTCAACAAAAGATGAAACCATATGACATCTGTCAGCCATAACATACAAATCAATCATGATAGTTTTAACTACATGGTCTTTTCTTTTTGTGTGATGGATGACATTTAAATAATAGTATTTAGAGCTGGTTCTCTGACATTTGAAGAAGAAGCAGCAAAGAGTAATATGTCTTCACTGCTTCTCCTCTCTTGACCTAATCTTTAAGTGTCAGAAGAAGGAATGTGGCGAAATGACTCCCAACGCATTAATTTACGCTTATGTATTGGGTGCCATAAACGCTAAAATCTATATGTCACCACTCCTCCCAATACACACCTACCATAAATGTGATAGATTGCCAAGATTGGTAGGTTCACACGCAACAAACAAGACATAAAAACGTCATGGAAATTGATGGTTTGTCAGGACGGAGGTTTCACAAGTCAGAACATCCTTGACCGATACGGCTTCATAAGCATGACACAAGCGTATTTCATATGTTAATTAACGATCTGAATTGACCAGCATATTAAACCTTTAGGAATGAAAAAAGTAGTGACAAAATGGTAAACGATCGGAATGTTGATTGTTTATACATTTTTATGAATTTTCTTTCATGTCTAATAAGATAATGGCGTTGAATTCTCAATGTTGAAAGTGCATTGTTTTGTAAATGTAGAGGAATTTAAGTTTTTGTTGAATGCTGTGAGTTACATCCCCACTCAAATACGAAATTCTTGCAAATATAAGCTCTGTATGCTTTCTGGAAACCATCTCCTTGCCGTATTTGCAGAGTAGAAAAAGTTAGTACCACGAGAGATGTATTTAATAATGCAGGCCACCATTTTAAGGAATATGTATATTCTTCGCCGAGGTGTAAAATATGATCAAGATTAGCTATGTATTGTGTTTCTAAAAATCAAGTCCGCTTTAAATAAGATATGTATTTACGTGTAATATCAATAATATGACAATATCTGCCGAACGAAATTAATTGTACATATTGTTACATTCTATGCACAACAGATTCAGTTATAAACAATGTCGATTTTTCCGAATAAAGATGAATATCAGTAGTATATTCCAAACAAAGTATTACGTATGTGTTTTGACAATGAGTCCCGTGTGTGATGTATCTAATTAACGATGAGAGTCCAGCTTGATGAAATAAGTGTAAGACGATGTGTCCTTTACCCGTGTTAGACCTAATTTATTCATAGGAGATGGTCATCGCAAATAAAATTGATGCCATAATCGAAACACGTCCCGTGTCTTTTGGGACGACACATGTTATGCGCGGATATTCGCCAATAATTGGAAGTCGATTTCTTATCCGGAGTGAAGATGGTCATTCTAATTAGTACATTTAGGGATTTCTCGGACCGGAAACAAATTATCACTGTTACATAGACGATGCCATGTTATCCTTATCATATTTATATAACAAAAGCCTCTTGTTGGTAAATCTTGTTACTACAGGCATGACGGGGTTCCATTATATCAGTTCTAATATATTGGTCGCGTATCTTGTTATCAATTCGTCCTAGCGGTCATTTTCTGCAATAACATGTTGCTGGGGTCGGAGACGGCATTGACCAACTGACATTTCCAATCAGACGGATCACATCGTGGATATCACTAGAACGGGGAAGTGGTATACCGTTTTGCCAGTCTAACAGGCACTGACTAATGAACTGTCGATAGAAATCAACGTTTAGGACAATAGTTTGATCGACCAACAGACTTGGCACTTGCTTCATGTTATGTTCGTTTTAATTAATTGTCGATACATTATATCACTTCGGAAACAAGGATTGATTTATTTTACAGATACTTTATATTCCTGTTTGGTTGTGTTATCGTTTGATCGGTGTGAGTAGGTGTTTCCTAAATCAGATCATCGGCTATGTTAGATTTCTCGTTACCAACCTTCCTTGGCAAAGACGAAATGTACTAGAAATACTTAAAACGGGTGTGCACATCATTAGATATCACGAGTTTATGATTTTGTGTTAACCAATGCATCAAAAATTTTGATTGTGCTACAGAATTTTCAGCTTCAGGAGGATGCCTTTCTTATTACTAAAAGTTATTGACTTATTGGTATAAGACATACTATGTTGACAAGATCAAGGGGAAAGACAACACCACCATGTCAATATAAACATAATTCAAACTCAAATGGCAAAATATGAACACAAGAAACATTTTTTAATAAGTGCAAGGGGAATATGACCATGTGTTCCGGAATAGTAAGCGTGTCCTGCTTCATCGACGACCCCTCCGTGTAAACATTGATTAATCCAAGCAAGTACTGCTATGTTCTGAAATGAGAACACGGTACACAACAACGGAGCCAACAGGCAAGGCAAACTGACGAGCATCAAAAATACGCTTACCCTTTCAGAATAACCTGGCCTTATTCTCCTTTTCCTTTTAAAATGATTACTCGTTTCGTTTGCCGTCCCATTGCATCAATTTTGAGTTTACATAAGGACTTATGAAGTCGTTGTTTTATTGTTCTAAAATGCAATATATATTTAAAAAAAAAAACTAAGAAAGTCGAAGTATGAATCATTGTTAATTCAGACCAAAATGTAAAAACGGCAATTTATTTTCAAGAATGTCTGTTTTGGTTACTAGATGTACAATGCATTCAACATTGCCATCGTCTTAAGTAACCGATAACTTTACTGTTGTCTGTGTCTGATTTGGTTGCGGACGTCATGTTCTCTTCCATCGTACAAACCGATGATAGTTTCTCTTAAAAATATATGCCGATGGCTACATGATCGAATCAAGAGACTAGTCATCTATATTATAGCTCTGAGACCTATTAATTCCCGGTACAACGATGATCTAATAGAGGTGAACATGAAACACTGAACAATCAGTGGTATAGGGCACACGAATATACAATATGTTCAACAGAAACGTCAACGACCTCAAGAACATGTTGCCCAAGCATTCCGATAACTTGTCTAGGTATGTTTTGCATGTATTCGCCAATTCACCAATCAATGCTGTCTACAAGAATTGTTTATTCAGAGGATTCTGTAATACCTTCTGCATTTAAGAAGTATATGTCTTCCTAAAAGAGGGGAGGACATTTATGAAATGTTCAGAAATAATCAACTCAGATAAAATTTCAAAACTATTAACGTCACGTTTGGATTGTGCGTGTTGCAGTTACATTACTGTCAATAGCATAAGGATATGATGGACAAACACATGTATTCAAAGTAATTAAAGGTCCATCTCGTTTATAATATCAGCAGTGTACTGTTCAGAGTAATACAACATAATCGACATCAGGGGATGAAATCAAATTAACCAAATTGAAATTTCTTGCTCTAAAGATAAAACAGAGCTCTAAAGATCGCTTATCCACTGAAACCAAATAGGAAAGATATCTACGTCCAGGGAATGACTTTCCCAATAATATATAATCTTTGTATCTGACATAATGCTGGTTAAGTTGACAACTTGGTACAAAGTCATGAAGTTGGAAAAACTGCATTTATAATTTCAGAAGTCAACCAACCTGATCAGATATATATATGCTAATGACATTCCTTCAATTCATCCACTAAAAAAACTACTGTGAAAATAATTTGCAACAAAAATCACTTAATATGTTTAATTACCACATTCTATGGAACGGTTTTTTATTTAATATCAGAAAGTGTAGAAGCTCACTATATCATAAAACGGTAGAAAATCGTTTCATAGTACGATGTATCACTACATTGTTGTAGCTATACCTTCTCGTTTACATAATGCCTAACAATCATACGGTGGTTACGTTCTGTTTCTCTGCATTGTACTTCATTTAAAATGTCATAAAGTGATTCAAAATTACTTT